GCCCCTTACCCTGAACCTTTGCCAAACCCTGAAACTCTGCGCCAAGCGGCCAGCTGTGACCTATGATTGCGGGCCATTGTGCTTTCGCCCTGCTGCCGGCCACATCACCCCCAATACGGCTCTCCCGCCCGCGAGAGACACAGCGTTCCCTCTGCCAGCCAGGAGCGTGGGCAGCGAGGGTCCAGACGTTCTTTCCCGCTGCTCGCAGGACGTGGACCGAAAAGTCTGGGAACAAAACCAGGCGGACGCCCACTTTGTTCCCGTTTCTTGGATTCAGAGGAGCCCTCCCGGTGTGTCTCTGCTTTCCCTCGAGTTCAAGATCGGCCCCAGAGCTGGAACTGCTGGTTTCATCCGTCTGATCTCACTGTTCCCTGTGGCCTTGAAGAAACACTTCTCCTGGTGACTCACCGCACCCCTGCAGGGTTCCACGGCCCCTTTGAAGGGAGCTGAGGGGAGTCAGCCAGGAATGGTGCCAAACAGGTATCCAGGGAGCAGGCGGTGACTGGCAGGTAACAGGGATCCAGGAAGGGGCTGACTGACAGGTATGGAACCCTAAGTGCGGAGGGATTAAGGGTTCAGCCTGGCTGTTACAAGAACTCCCTTCTCATTCTTGTAGTTCTTTTTTATTTTATTTTTATTTTTTGCTTTTTGGGTCAGACCTGGCAATACACAGGGGTTCCTCCTGGCTTTGCACTCAAGAATTACTCCTGTCTGTGCTTGGGGACCAGATGGGATGCCGGGAATCAAATCTGGGTTGGCCACACACAAGGCAAATGCCCTCCCCGCTGGGCTATCACTCCAGCCCCTTCTTGTAGTTCTTGACTGGGGAGTGCGGAATCATATTCCGATCATCTGATCACTGGGAGCACGCAGAGCACATCCTCAGTCTGGAACAGTGGGAACGGCTAAGACCCCAGGGGCAGAGAGGCTCAGTGCGTGAAGTGGAAAGATCTGGCATTTTCTTCCTGCTGGAAAATTAGGGACTGTGAAAGTGCAACTCTAGGGTTTTGAAAATGCCTTTTTCCAGGTATGTGGATGGATGTCCCCAATACTGGGCTCCCACGTCATTCTGACTTCTGGGGTCTCGTCCTCCCAGGAGGCCACTTGCCTTGTGAGCAAAGTCTGAATCCAGTCTCATCCTCACGGCGCTTAAACCAGCCTTCTGTTTCCTTGGTGTTTTTAAAATTTTGAAGAATTTCCCTGAGAATGTGGCAAAAATCTGAGCTGAGCTCTAGCCATTTAGAATAAAAATAGTATAAGTTTTTATTTAAATTTATACTTGAGTAAAAATAGTATAAATTATAAAAAAAAATTTAATAGTGCATGACTGCCTTCAGCTAACTCGAGTGGAGCAGGTGAGACCGGGGACAGGGCTCGCAGCTTCGCACGAGGGCCTGGGCGTTCCCAGCCACCAAGCCATCTTCTGGTCCCTCTCCCCAGGAGATTTTTGTATATTTGTTTGAGGGCCACGTTCTCCAGCGTGTAGGGGAAGTTCCCGGGTCTGTGCTCAGGGGCGACTCCTTGCCGTGGGGGGTGCCCAACGCAGTGCTGGGGTTGTAACTGAACCAGGAGAGGCGGGAGGCTGACCTCCCGATTGGCCCTCGCTGGCCTCCTCTTAAAGACATTTTAAGAGGCCGGAGTGATAGTACAGCGGGGAGGGCATTTGCCTTGCAGGTGGCCGACCCAGGTTCGATTCCCAGCATCCCCTAGAGTCTCCTGAGCACCGCCAGGAGTGATTCCTGAGTGCAGAGCCAGGAGTGACTCCTGTGCATCGCCGGGTGTGACCCCGCCCGTCGCCCCACACACACCAAAAAAAGTCAGTGGAGATCTGAATTGGGATATAAAACAGTGATGGGAGTGCAAGAAGGGAAAGGAGTCCTTTGCTTTGCCACTCAAGACCCAACTGTGGCAGGAAGGAGGAGAGAGAGGAAGCAACAGAAAAACGCCCACCCACGGGGTCCTGTCTCTGGCCTGCAGGACGCACGTACAGACTGAAAGGCTACAAGAACATGAGAGACTCCATATTAGACTTAGTCCCACATGGTAATGATTTAATGCTAAGCAGGCATAGTGGACAGGGTATCCGGGCTTATCTTTCACCTAGCGAACACGATCACTGGCATAAGTTCTGGGAATGCAGAACAGCAAGTAAAGGTCACGGTCACTGTCCTCCCGTTGTTCATCGATCTGCTCGAGCAGGCCCAGTAACATCATGAGACTTTTTACTGTGTTTGGCATATCGAATACATCACGGGGAGCTTGCCAGGCTCTGCCGTGCGGGCGAGATCCTTTCGGTAGCTTGCCGGGCTCTCCGAGAGGGGCGGAGGAATCGAACTCGGATTGTCCATGTTGGCCGCGTGCAAGGCAAACGCCCTACCTGCTGTGCTATCACTCCGGTCCAAGTAAAGGTGCAGGACCATAAAAGGAAAAGTGGTACACTGTCGCCTAAAAAGGGGAAAGGAAGTCAGATTGGGTGATCAAAGTCAGCAGGTGAGGGCAGCCAGGAAGGGACAAGCCAATCAAGAACAAACACGACCTGAGGGTCCTGGGAGGGACCAACCCAAGGCAGGAAGGTCTGAACCCAAGTAAAGGATAACAGGGGACGCTTGCAGGGAGACGGGGTCGCCCTCTGTGCAGGGACCCTGGTTGACCAGTACATGTGCCTGCCTCGAATCAAGAACTTTTTTGCATGCATTCCGACTCTGTCTTGCTCCTCAGATCACGGACCCTAACAGGACCACAGAGGAAAACCCACATCCAATGCGCATTCCCGGGGTGCCCTGTCCTCACCACACCCACAGAGCAGAGCCACGTCCCACGGCTGCAGACACACACGCGCTCCTCACCCCAGATCGTCGGCTCATCCCCCAGCCCTGCCGGGAATGTGGCATCAGGCGGGCAAGGACACAGGAAATAGAAACGCAGCCTGGCAAGAGAGGGGCGCCCCCCGGAAGGGCAGGAACAAACCAGCTGCCCCCCAATCTGCTCTCATCCATCCAGGTGGGAAAAACAAGAGAAACAAGGTATTTCTTTCCTCACCCCAAGGTCTGCGGGGCCGCAGAGGGATGGGCTGATTTCTCGAAGTATCCACCCTGCTCTTGGGGTGCTCACGGCCACAGCGCCCTCTTCGGGGGGGGGGGACGACTGTGCCTGCTGCTGGCGCCCTTCTAGCCCGGGGGGAACCAGGCATGAACCCGCTTGCCCTTGGCTGGTGGCTGTCTCTTGCCACACTTGCTTGGGGGGATGTGCCAGCCCCCGGTGCTAACAAAGCACCCAACCCACACCCACAGTGTAGCAGGGAGTTTCACAGCCTCATGGGACCCTGGGGCCTGACCCCTAGGCGGATGGAGGAACCGCGTCCCCACTAAAGCCAGCAGAGGGAAGGGCAGCGAACCAGCAGCCCCCAGGGGAAAGGCAGCCGACTGATTCTGGAAAGTTCCAGGAGTGCTCACTGGGGGAGGCTTCCAGGAGGCCACTCTCAGACGCCCTGTTCTTAACATGAGCCTAACGAGTCTTGGGCATGGAGCTGACATTTTTAATTCCAAGCACCTTGTCAAAGAGTAGCCAGAACCTTTGGAAAGGCACGAACCGGGTCACAACTGCATCAAGCCAAGAATGGGTCCCACACTCTCAACCTCACATGGGAACATGGGAACCCATCTGCTGGGTCTCATCGTCGGAGGCAGCTGGTTCTTGAGGTGGGGACCGGTAGGAATCAGCTCCCTCCCCCAACACAGCACCTCTCCCCGAGCTGGGAAGGCCAGCGTTTCTCCCGGAGGCTGTTACCACCACCCACGTCTACTCTCAGAACGCTAGAAAGAAGCACCCTGAAACGCAGACCATGGGAAACGGAGGCACTTGTAAATCTCTCGTGGCCATCTTCTTTGGGTGACGTTTTTCTCCATTTTCCAACTTTTGAACCCTGCCTATCTTTCCTCCCCGCCTGCTCCCCCCAACACACACAACCCCCTCAATCCTACAATCTGATTTTCAAACCCTGCCCTGCTCGCTCTCTCCTGCAAAGCCGAATTTAATATCAGTGGAGAGTTAGCTCAGCAGGGGAGCAAGTCCCAGAATCGTCTGCATCTTCTGTGGTCAGATTCCTTCTCTCCATGTAATTTGCTTCCAGTGAACCCTGAATCCTATGGTTCGGTTCGCAGCGGAGTCAGGAGAGCAAACACTCCCTGCTCCGTTAGGTTTCCTGAACAGAGAACGTGTCGTCCTAGGCCCATCCAGACCCTCTGCTCTTTACTCCGTTAAAACAGAGTTGGGTTTAGACAGCCTAGATTCTCAGAAGGATTGAAATCATGGTCACGAAGGCATCTTCAACTTAGCTTAAACATAAACGCCCGGATGAAAGATGGCCCACTTCTCAAGCTATGCTAAGCCTGGAAGCACCCCCATCTTATGAGAGGAATCCACTCTGTTTGTTGTTGTTGTAAACAAACCCGCAAACACACACAGGTTGCCACAAATGGGAAAGGACGAGGTCATCTCTAGTCTTAGAACTTTGTTTGTTTTCAGGAGGTAATAAATACCAAAATGGGAGGAAAGATCCTGCCTTCGGGCCCAGGGGATCTGAGAAATCAAGTGAGATTCTTCTCACCATTTTAAATTTCATAATTAAGATGAAATTATTAAATCCTTTTCGGACACAGAATGACCTAGACCCTCTCTGAAGAGCAACGTGAAAACAGGTGGACTTGTCACCTTCCAAGACCGCCGTTGTTTCCTCTGTACCGTTAGCACCTACAATCAGGCCAAGCACACACATACACCTCCCGACTCAGTGTCCAAGCGCAGGGAAGATGGCTCGGTGAGTTGGGCACGCCAACCTGGGCTGTCCAGCACAATCCTCCCAGCAAGCCCTGTGCGTGCGACTTCAGGCACTGGTCACCTCTGTGAAAACCATGCGTGTCCGGGCCCTCAACAGGAAGCATCTCCCCTCTGCGTTACCGTGCGTTCGCTGTGCGATTTTCTCGAGTTCGGGTACGGCTTACCTTCGCACACGCGACCATCTGAGGAAATGGAGAAGCCTTGCTCGCAGATGCAGTGAAAAGAACCCTCGGTGTTCAGACACTCCCCGTGAGGACCACACAGCCCAGTTTGCTCACATTCATTAACATCTGGAAGGGGAAAAGGAACGTATACTTGAATCAACCAAACAAGTGGTTTTGTTTTCATACACGATTACACTTGCTATTACTGAAAAACGGGCCACTTACTGCGTGTGCAGCCACAGGGGCCCATAGGCCAGACAGGAAATGAATTCTTACCAATGAATGAGATACTATTGGGGTTGAATCAGATGAAGCCGCCATAGGGGGTGTGGTTAGAGGCGGGCGGGGGGAACTGAAGCCACAGCTGGCCATGCTCAGGGGCTATTCCAGCTGGTCCTTAGTGGACAGGGCACCAACTGGGTTCAGTCACATGCTAGGTCAGTCACACCTGACCTCCGGTACTATCTCTCCACTCCCATAGGATGCAGGTTTCTTAAGGATATATATGACTTCCTGTGTCTTATAAAGATAAATGTTTGGCTCCTACATGCACTTCACAAATGTCTATGAAATATAAAAGTGAAAGAAATTTTGAGTGCTATTGTGTTGAAACTGGAGAACAGAAATGGAATGCTAGAAAAAAGAGAACTTTTAAGACCAAGAAGATTATCGCTGGCATAGCTTTGCGATAACAAAAGTAATCAGTGAAGAGGGTGAGTTGCTTCTAGTTTATTTTCATTTATTTATTTATTTATTTATTTGGCTTTGAGTCTCAGCCAGCACTGCTCAGGGCTTACTCCTGGCTCTGTACTTACAGATCACTCCTGGCAGAGATCAGTAGATTGACCGGGTCAAGCTGTGTGCAAGGCAAGCTCCCTGCCCACTGGACTATCTCTCCAGCCCCACTTCTGGTTTCACACACAATTTAGGGTTCTGTGATTCACCCTTGACCACACCATATTGTAATCAAACTTGTTGGTCTGCTTCCATGGGCTCCTCTTCAGCAAAGTGTGCCGGTGCCCTTCATGCCCAGGGCCTGGCTCTCTTTAATGCCAATCACGTGTTAAGCAACACAGATAAGAGAAACATTCTTTCCAACCACACATCTTAGTTCTGATGGTGAACTGCACCCAGGTTGATGACCTAAGGAACGTCCAGGGTGGGTCCCCCGTTGCCGTGGGTACTGATACATCCCAGCATGCTCTGGGGTACTCCCAACCTTCCTACTCAGCGGGGTTCCTCATAATGACACTGACGCTCTTGGAGGAGCCCAGAGTCCCTTTCCCCTCCCAACTGCTGACACAGCACATTGCCAGCGTGGGCTTATCCATGCCACAGCTCCTCAGCCGTGTCCATTCTCCGTGGCTTGTTAATCAGCGGCGAAGATTCTCTTAACCAACTGGGGGCATGAAAACTAGCCCAGGTCCCCAAGACCTCCGAGGTAGTAGCCCCACCAAAGCCATTTCCCTGGCTCCTCCTTGGTCTCTTTCGAAGGAGATTCTCAATACCCCCCTTAGATCTTCCATTCAATTAATGGCATTTGCTGGGCGCTTGTTAGGTGTAGGTTGAACGGGTCGGGGCCCTGGCCAGGAAGATCCTGTTCGCCAAACGGGCAGGAACCAACAGGGATTATGACCGTGCTCCGTGGGAATGGCAGGAAGGCAGAGATTAGGCATCCCACCTAGTGAACTGAGGGGCACGCTGACCCCTGATCCTGGGGTCCCCTCAGTGACTCATCTGTTCCCTGCATTCAGCCTCTCCAGGGCTGATCTCTTATGCCCTGTGCATCTTGTTATGCAACAGAAATTGGACGCTATCATATACTTTGCCAATCCCTGGTGATCACCCAGCTCTATACTCTTCCAGGTGCCATGTAATCCAGACCCTACAGGCTCATTCCTTGCTGTGTGGAAATAAGAATCCAAGCAGGAATCCCTCAAACTTTTCTAACAATCCTCCCGTGTTTGCTCTTGTCCTGAATTCAGAGGCATTTGAAGGAGCAACAGCTGGCTTGCCACGGGATGTCTCGTAGGAGTCACCGTGAAGCACCTCGCCGCGGCCAAGTCCCCAGGCCCGTCTGTCTGCTATATCTTCCTACTGATTCTACCTCACTCGTCTCTTAGCCTTTAACTTCAGTTTTTCTTTCCAACCTGGCGCGGTGAGTTACCTCTACCTGGGCAACGAGTGCCCCGAGGTTCCACGGATCTGGGGCGCCCGTCCTAAACCTACCTAGCTGGCTGAGGGGACTGGAGACAATTTTATCCTTTAGTTTCCATGCGGTGTGTTAAGAACTGCCTGCTTTGCAACTTCACAAGAGAAATAATGTGCATTTGTCTCTTGCTTCAAGCGAAGTCAGTGATTAACAAATAATTGTCTAAAACGTTTGATGACAGGAACTGAAGACAAATTCCCAGACTTTTTTCCAGGATACGGCTCAGAAAGAACAACATGAATCTCTGGAACCAGGGAAACATATGCATTCAATTTGGTTGTATTTATTGAGGCATTTCTAAAGTAGGCGCTAGCAACGCTGCTGAAAGCCAGACTGTATTTCAGCTGGGTTTCTTTTGTGGGTCCAAGATGCCACAGAAATGCACAACTTGGCCCAGGAAAGTCAAAACATGAAACTGAAGCGGGTTCTGAATCTCAGACAGAACTGCCACATTCTCAATGAGTCTATGAAGGGGGAATTTCCACGCTGCCTTTATATCATCATTAATGAGGCTGGAAAAAAAGATATGCAAATAGACATCCAACTGAAAATACCTTCCTGCATCTGGAATTACCTGAATACAGTGCTACCTTCAGGCTATTGGGTAAGATTTAAAGTTTCTGCCTAAAATATTTTTATTCAACTGTGTCTCCTAGTTATTAGCACTGCCATCAATTACATTCTTGGCATTGAGCGGAAACCTACACTTTTTGGGAGTTCTGAAGAGGTCAGGGCCACCTGGTGTGGTGTCACGGCTTACTGGAGGGATCACTCTGGAAGGGCTCAGGGGACTATATCGGGTGCCAGCGATGAAACCTGGATTGGCCACATGCAAGGCAAATGCCCTGCCCACTGTACTATCTGTCGCTCTGGCCTCTGAAATCTCTATTTTCATAGAGAATTGCTGATCAGATCATGGGGTCTTTGGACAGAAGCAAATGACTAAATTCAAGAAGAAAGATCACAAAAGAGTCTCAGTGAACAGAAAAAGGGCGGATTTAAAACAAGTGAGTATCGGTGCCCTGACAGAGTCTCACTGGAGAGAGCAGGAGATGGAGAGTCACGGGCAGTATTTTGAAACTGGTGCTAAAGCTGCTTCAGAAATACTGCTCCTTTGTGTGGATTTAAATTTTCCAGCAGACATATTAATTTTTTCCGGAAAACAGAAACCTCTAAAGTGGTGGAAAATGAGTCAACTGAATAATGATTGAGAAAATAAAGCCTATGTGTGGGGCAGAGGCACGTCTGAGAGAGAAAAAGGGACACAAGGAATGATCCCATGATGAAATTAGTTCCACGTGAGTGAACTCGGGATGCTTAATTACAAAATTTTCACTATGAGATCATGGTCCCTTTATAAAAGTCTTGGTTTTGCCTCTATTTGGTCAAAAACTGTGGTGAGAGAGGATTTAGTAAAGACAATATTGCTTGTGAGCCAAAAAATGTGCAGTAAAAATAGCAATCAGGTTCTGCTATTTTCTAAAAAAATATAAATCAAAATCTTTTTTCAAATTCTTGTGAAGATGCACAAGTCCCCGTGTGAAAGTATGTTCACATAAATGGAGAATTTAAAAATAATTCTAATAATTCTTCTCTTATGGCAATCAATCAAGCACATTCCATTTCCATATTGGAGAACTGGAAGACTTCATATCCACCTTAACTGCATAATGATGGCAAGTAACTGCATCAAGAGAGGTGCGGCCATCTTTGAAACGTTCAGAATAAGAGAAGGAACACATGGAGGGTGCGGGATCCCGGAGAAAAAGAAAAAAGAAAAAACAGGTTCCAAAAAGAGCCGAGAGCACCGGGAAGTTCCAGATGGAGTAGGCGCCGCATCCCGCCTCCCCCAGATGGAACCCTGGTGACCAGAAGCCTCTACAAACACAGCTCGAGTATGCGGGAACGAGGACTTTTTCTCAAATCTGCCGGACTACACCTCCCAGGTAACCTCTGATCCCGGAAGTCATGCCCACAGCCCGCCCCCCAGCGCCATCTTTGAAACGTTCAGAATAAGAGAAGGAACACATGGAGGGTGCGGGATCCCGGAGAAAAAGAAAAAAGAAAAAACAGGTTCCAAAAAGAGCCGAGAGCACCGGGAAGTTCCAGATGGAGTAGGCGCCGCATCCCGCCTCCCCCAGATGGAACCCTGGTGACCAGAAGCCTCTACAAACACAGCTCGAGTATGCGGGAACGAGGACTTTTTCTCAAATCTGCCGGACTACACCTCCCAGGTAACCTCTGATCCCGGAAGTCATGCCCACAGCCCGCCCCCCAGCGCCATCTTTGAAACGTTCAGAATAAGAGAAGGAACACATGGAGGGTGCGGGATCCCGGAGAAAAAGAAAAAAGAAAAAACAGGTTCCAAAAAGAGCCGAGAGCACCGGGAAGTTCCAGATGGAGTAGGCGCCGCATCCCGCCTCCCCCAGATGGAACCCTGGTGACCAGAAGCCTCTACAAACACAGCTCGAGTATGCGGGAACGAGGACTTTTTCTCAAATCTGCCGGACTACACCTCCCAGGTAACCTCTGATCCCGGAAGTCATGCCCACAGCCCGCCCCCCAGCGCCATCTTTGAAACGTTCAGAATAAGAGAAGGAACACATGGAGGGTGCGGGATCCCGGAGAAAAAGAAAAAAGAAAAAACAGGTTCCAAAAAGAGCCGAGAGCACCGGGAAGTTCCAGATGGAGTAGGCGCCGCATCCCGCCTCCCCCAGATGGAACCCTGGTGACCAGAAGCCTCTACAAACACAGCTCGAGTATGCGGGAACGAGGACTTTTTCTCAAATCTGCCGGACTACACCTCCCAGGTAACCTCTGATCCCGGAAGTCATGCCCACAGCCCGCCCCCCAGCGCCATCTTTGAAACGTTCAGAATAAGAGAAGGAACACATGGAGGGTGCGGGATCCCGGA